TATCACCTCTGAATACCAAGGGTTACGGGAAGCCAATCAGATTGAAGGACTTGTCATATGTTGATGAAAGAGTGTTCTAACCTTTTTTCATTATTCCCTGGTGTTGAAATACTTTGGTTGTGTTTAATTCAGAGCAATTCCAGCGTCTGTCTCGAAATAGTCTTTGACAGTGCTTTAAAGCCATTGAGACGGCCTTCTCGACGATGCCTTTTAGTTTGTAGAGATAGCATAGCTGTAAGTCGTCTTTGGTAAACCATTTATGGATTCCTGCTGTGCAGTTTTGCTCTGCGTCTTTGCTCATTCCTGATTTATAGACGTTTGACAGGCTGCCATTGCTACAGACAAGAAAGAGTCGTCATTCTTAAAATCATTACAGAGTAGAATATAACCATTTACAAACAGTAATGKCAAAGTAATTGCATGTCAATAGCACCCTGCTACTCCTGCTACTCCTGATTCATAGACGTTTTGCAGGCTGCCATTGCAACAGACAAGAAAATCATTACAGACTAGAATAGAACCTTTTGTGTACAATAAAGGCAAAKAAATTGACTGTCAGTAGCAACCTACTACACTTATACTACTTATTATATCGCACTTATTGAAGAAAACYTACCGATATTCTCGTCGTGATTCTGTGAAGACGACAAGRAACAATAACATCACAGTTCCGTACAACAGTCGCATTCTGCTASCGTGTTAGAATATATCTCTGTAAAAGATACGTGTTGCTGAATGACGCTCCTTCGTCGATCTGTCCGCTTCTAAAATCTCAGTAGAGGAAACTGATTGTTTTTTAGTTATGCCTGGCAGCTCGTTGACCAATGACAGGAGAGCATAATATGCGGATTTTTACCTCTTAAAGCTCTTCCTGTGAAATGTGGCACCTTGTCGGGATGGATTTCTATGGTTTTGGTAAACATGAATGACGCTTGMYTTGATACTGTAAAATGCTGAAAACTCAAAGACTATTCGTTTRATTTTTTACAAAAAATGGCAGCAAGAAAAAAGTAAGATAAATTGGATCGTGATAGTGACCTTTTTATAAGCCACTGATTTCAATCATCGACGGACCTGGAGAGAGTAGCCTCATACTTTAGACTATCCGGGCGTTGACTATCCATGTACAATTGTAATTTTTGTCAGTACGTCTCCTTTTTTGCATACAAATGGCAGTCATCAATTACCTAATGGAATTTTTACGYCACAACAAAATGTTTTAACGCTAAGGATTATGGTCGTCTGAGTGAAACAAAGAAAATCAGTGTACAAAATCGATCATCAACAAATTGTCAATTGGTATCGACCCAAATACATTTGRTACGGYGTCGATTCACACGTCAAAACCAATGCGGTCAAAAGCACAAGCACAAGCRCAATTTACATCCATTATTATTGTCGTGAATATAATATTTTGAAGTATATGTAGCCTGCGTGAAGGCGTTCCTCGTTGGGGGCGGAGCAAAGAGGAACGCCTGCACGCAGGCTAAAGTATATGTGTAGCCATGCCTTGGATGTGGATATATTAGAAAAGCTATGACTTCTGAAGGCTCAATTATTTAATTTAAGACGTTTCGCCTCTGAGAGCGTGGAGGTTTTTCCGTCTGATGCTGCCGTGCCAAATTTGATATTATGCCGATTTAAGGTAATCAAGAATATATGTATGCTATTTCCTCAGGCTGTTTTACGACAATGTATTCTTCAGGGGGAGTGGGGTTGAGATTTGTTTTCATGCAGGTAGAACACTGGATTCACTTTAAATACACTTTCACTTTTTAAAAATACACGCGAAGCGCTATTTATTACGATCGAAACACCTTAATATGACTATATTAACTTCGCTGAGATCTAAATTTCTTGCTGTTATTGATCGTTTTCMWCCTTTCGAATGAGATTCAAAAGATGCAGGAACAAACTATAGTTACTAATGGGAATCCTTTGTTCCTCCAAGACATCCCCTGTAGATGTCTCCCCTGTATCGTATAGTGAAAACCAAGAATATCGAAGTGGTTACCATCAGTCTGTTSGCTTTGACATACCCGGGTATCAAGTACTTGTAAACGGTCGCATACGATACGTATCCGCTACGCGTGGACGCAATTATTTAAGCTTGTGTTATGTGGGATCGCTGTATTCATTGTCTGTAACAATCAATGGGTGTCGGGCACAATCGACCAGGCGGTGTTGGACACAGCGCGAAAAGGATCCTGGGTCAAAAGTCAAAAATGGCTTCATTTGCAACTGGCATTTGAGCTATGAAGAGCTCCGTCGGAGTTGATTGAAAGGCAAAATAAAGGCAAAATCTGAGAAAAACTTGAAAAGTATCTGAAAATAAGTAAAAATACATAATAGAGTTCAGTAGTATTGCGAAAAAAGTAAGCTAGAATGCTGAAAACTCATGAAAAGATCGAATTTTTCGAGCAATTTGTGTGTTAATTTTATTACGAGAAAGCACAAACATACCTTACGACAGTCTTGAAAAAGACATGTTAATCACATCAGCGATATGAATGACACTCATGTTTTGCAATTCCAAGCAACAATCCTGACCTGTATCAGGCTACTAGTAAGACAGAAAAGTAAACCTCGTGACTAAGTCCGCCATGATTTATTGTGCGAAGTAAAACACCGCCGCAGGGCAGCATGGGAATTTACACAGGGGGCCCAATACACAACAAATCCTTTGTTTGACATCATAAAATGTTGCAAAAATGCAAAAAAGGAATTGACTTTTTCAATCTTAAAACTGTCAATATTTCAAAAGTGAAGTTGACCTTGACTATGAGAGAGGTGACACGCGCGTCAAAAGTTGTTCAAGGTCAAAATTTTGGCGGGAAACCTCGACCGCAAGAAATTAATTTGACTGTGTTTTTTGTTCAAATTCTTTATTATTATGCCTTGTACAGAAACTTGTACATTCTTTTAACTTACCACAAACATGGTACAAACATATATTAAAATATAACCCATGATAGATATCGAAAAAAATGAGTAAAAATGATAGCATGATTTGTACGAAGACTTCAAAATTCGCCCACTTTAGTTGCTTCAAAAGTGAATAAATACTGCTGCGCCATCGTGCGCCATGCACTAGGGTATTAGGAATTTATTTTTTGTTTCACATGTTGTTAATATCAAGACAACTGATTAAATATTTCGATCAAAACTATGAAAAACGTCTGGCAATGTCAATATTGCCGACTTGTCGTTGGAAAAAGACAACAAAA